TTTTTGATATTGCGGTCGAATCTGTCTGACCTCTGCATAACTTGAGGATGTGCTAATCGCCTTTCTGATATTATTGAGCTTCTCAGAAAAGAAGGAAGCAAACTCATTGCATTTTCTGTCAGAGAGCATTTAACTGGGAATCTGACTTGGGGGGTTTGTCAGTCTCTCAACAGTAGCAAAAAGAGTGTGAGTGTTGTTTAAGTTACTGTTTATAAGGTTTGAGAAGAAACTCTGTCTAGCTGTGTCTAGTTCCACATTGAAAGCATGAAGGCTGTCTTTATAGATGCTATAGTGAATTTCAAGTTTCGTCTTCCGCCACATCCGCTCAGCTTTTCTGCATTGTCTTTTCATACTTTGTAATGCTGTTGATTTTCTCCAAGCTGATTTTTGTCTGCCAGTCTTCTTGCTGACTTTCACATGAGCAATATCATCAATAAATAATATTCTTAACTTTTGAGTTAAAGGAATCAAGGAGAAGATCAACAGAGTCTGCAGAAATGCTTGGTGTTAAAGATATAGCCTCCATAAATAGCACACTAGTGTTCTCGTTAATGTCAGAGACAGATCTAGATTCAGTGGTAGCAGAGATCAATATATCAAAGAAAATACAGAAGTGATCAGATAGTGCTACGTCCTTAATAACAATGGATGAAATGTTTAGGCCCCTACTGATGATTAAATCTAGAGTATGTCCATGATTGTGTGTAGGTTCATGCACATGCTGAATCAGGTTAAAAGTGTTTAAAACTGTTATAATTTCTTTTGAAGTTTTGATTTCTGCATTATTTACGTGAATAATAAAATCCCCTGCAATAGCAAAACAGTCAAACTCTGAGGAAATCATTGATAACATTTCTGTGAACTCTTCAACAAAGGCTGGAGAGTATTTTGGAGGCCTGTAAATAATGATAAACAGAATGTGTGGAGGACCTTTCAGCACAATCCCTAGATATTCAAAAGACCAAATGACACTTGCTTGCATTGATAGACATCTTTAAATAGAGCAAATGACACATGCTTGCATTGATAGACATCTTTAAATAGAGAAGCTACACCTCCACCTCTCCTAACAGTCCTGCAGACACTCATGAAAGTAAAGTTAGGAGGGGCTGTTTCATTGAGGACTGTTGCACTGCAGCTGTCTTCTAGCCATGTTTCATTTAGAAACATAAAATCCAGGTTGTTTGTGGTTATTAAGTCATTGATTAGAAATGATTTATTTTTTAGTGAGCGAATGTTTAAAAATGCTAGCTTGATGGCATTGCTTTGTGTCTTTACACCATTCTTAGTTTGAAGCATTATAGGCCGCAGATTAGATGAGACAGCCGTACAGCTTGAGAAGGCCTTAGACTTTCTATCACATGATAAAACAGAAATAGAGAAAGCTACAGACACACTGGGTTCCCGCTTGTTCTGTAAACAATTGTGAATGTTGCTGCTATCAAAGCGGGGACCTGACACATATCACTGAGCTGATTCTGATATGATATATAGTAATATAGTATATAGTAATATAGTAATATATAGTATATAGTAATATAGGAATATAGCAATTAAATAAGCACAGTGCTGCACTTTAGTGAATGCACTTAATTATTTTATTAATATGTTCTTTTTCTTTTCTTTTTTTAATCATTTTAGATCATTTTTTATTATTTGTATTTGTTTTAAATAGACTTTTTTTAAAACTTAAATTTTTTTAAGATATTGTTATTTGTTTTTATTTATTTCACATTTCTTTTATTATTTTATTTAATGTATTATTTTATTTAGATATTCTTTTTTCATATTATTTATTTAAATTATATTTATTTATTTACTTTAGATTTATAAAATGTAGATTTTTAAAATGTATTTATTTTATTTTATTTCTCTTTATAATGACTATGCCTTTTTATTTTATTATTTCTATTTACTTTAATTTTTTATTGAACTTTATTTATTATTTTTCATTATTATACTGAAATGTTCTTTTTCATTTTATTTATTTTATGTATTTTTTTATTTGTTTTCATTTTTAAATTAAACTTTCCTTCCTCATTCTTAAATGGTGTTAAATTTAGTTTAACGTGTCGTTTATCTTTCTCTTTATATGTAACACTATGCACTTGTATGAATTACGACTGAAATGTGCTACAATTATATAAATAAACCTGCCTTGCATCATCTATATGAACAGATCTGAATATCACAGAGATTTAGCAAAGCCCTAGATCCACCCTAGCAACAACTTCAAATGCCTTAGCAATAGATTAGCAAATACTGTAAACATTTGTCAGCAAACACCCCTCATATTTTCTTCAAAAAGTCATGTTATAATTAATACACTCTTAGCCTAACTCCAAAATGCACATTTTGTCATTTCACAGGCCTGTTATTTTTGTGTCGACATCCCCAGAAGGAGTTTTTTGTCATGTTGTGATATTCTTTTGGGGACATTTTCTGAAATTCCGGCTATCAAAACCTACGCACACACAGACTCTTCAAACAAATGAAAACAGGCAGAATCCTTCCTGTCATCTTGTTCGCACGCCACATTTCAATCTACGGAGGCGCCACATCAAGTGTGCTACATTCACAATTACGTGCCTTGCGTATTCCACCGCTGACGGTTTTCATTTGCAGCACGCAGGAGAAGAACACTTGACATTTCCAGTTGATGTGTTTTAAAAGCACTTATTTCTGAGACTGTCGATCAGGCCGGGCTCTTCTGGCCCCTGCGGCCCCTGCGGCCCCTGCGTTGCACTCAGACGCATGATGAGTTCGCTGCTGGAGGAGCCTGGGATTAGTCAGTATTTACAACAGCTCTTGATGAGTCGCTGTGGGAACCCATCTTCCTGTTTCATAAGGTTTAATATTAATAAGCCATATTGGGTGGGAATATAAACTCTGAATCAATTAATTTTGCAGCCGTGCTTTGACGATCCTCCGGACGTCATTCACCAGCAACTCTGTAATCTCTTTTGCTCATGAGCAAACACACGAGCGTGAAACTTCTGCCGTGAGATGGAACCAGGCGCCCTCGACGGAACGCGGCATATTCCAGTTCCTGCATGTATGCGTCCATCCCGCCGAGCGTAATGAACAGATGAGGGAATGGCGAGATTAATCACGATAGCATTGTCAGGGAGCCAGTCGTTTGTTTAGTGTCTGACTGGGTTTTATGCCTCCTTGCCATTTCATACACATTACTGAGCACTCATTAAATGCTATTAGTGCCTAAATCTAAATCCTCTGGTAGCTCACTCAACACTCTCATTAAAGCGTTTGGCATGTCCTGAAAGAACATCCACTGAGATCTGTGAGTACACTGTTTATGACCGACAGAACAAAGGCAGTCATTTTGAAATTGATTTAACTGAATTCTTTATGCATGACTTTTCTCTGGAGTTACCTACTCCCTTTTACTTTCTTATTCACTTTCTTTAAACCTGCTCCTTTCATCATGACATTCACTGGTTTGGGAATTGCTGGACATGAGTCAGGGAATATTCTAGGGAGTCTTAAAAAAACATGAAACTGCATTAGCAATTTAACTTCTATAATATGATATATTTCTGAGTGAATATGCATATATATTATATTTACACCTACGGGCTTAGATTGGTTAGCTAGCCCAGTGTGTTGTGATTGGCTAAACCGTCTCTAGCGTGTCTGAACGTCATGCCCCTCACCTCAGCGGCATGTGCTCCGGTTGTATTGTAAACAACGGCACCGTTAATATCGTTTATCAGTTTGAGCCCGATTGAGACGCAGAGGATATTATTGAAGAGGATCGTGCAGAAACTGTGCAAGCACGGCTCTTAATGGTATGTTTTTTGATTGTTGTTGTCTCATACTTTTAGATATGCTGTTATTTGTAAATGCTACTACTTATGTTAGCTTTTAATATACGGTTTTATTTAAAGCTGATTAAAGGTTTAATACAGTACGGCAACTGCACGCGCGTCCATGTATAACGCTTCTCATAGCTGTGTGAAAATAAGTGTATAAATGGAACAGTTCATTGCTGGAGCTGAGCTGAATGAGAGAGAGAGAGAGAGAGAGAGATGCAGAGCATGTGCAGAGCAGAGGAACGCGAGGAACAGTATTGAGAACCGCTGCTTTACAACATTGATTTTGAAACTTGTGAATCTATTCGAATCGTTAGAAGACAGAATCATGATTCATATATGAACTGAATTTATGAATTTTACGTGCACCCATGGGTTTCTCTTTCTCTTCTCTAAAGCAGCACAGAATGGCCTTGCCCCCTTCGTTGCATGTTCCCGGGGGCGGGGTTTGTCTGGGTTTGTGATGTCTTTAAATTCTTTAAAAACATAAAAAATCTTACTGTTTAAAAACTTTTGACTGGTAATGTACTTTAAAATTTATTTTACTTCTGTGATGGCAAATTTGAATTTTCAGCATCATTACTCTAGTATTCAGTGTCACATGATCCTTCAGAAATCATTCTAATATGCTGATGTGCTGCTCAAGAAACATTTCTTATTATCATCAAAATCATTGCAAACAATGCTTACTGTTTTTGTGGAAACTGTGATAATTTTTTTATCCTACACTTTGATAGGATTCTTTGATGAATAGAAAGTTGAAAATAACAGTTTATTTGAATCATAAATCTTTTGATCAATTTAATGCATCCATGCTGAATAGAAGTATTAATTTCTTAAAAATAGGAACTTAAATTTGTGAATGGTAATGTGGTTCTATAATGGCATTTTTGATCATTTAAATGTATTTTTATAGTCCTTTTCACAGTAAATATTGGTCTAAAACTAAAAGTATTGGTCTTTCTTTAACTTCCCACAGACTCCCTAGAACTCCCTTTGCAAGAAACCATTTGTAACTCAAACAGGATTTTTTATGAAAAAAATTAGGGTGGGACTAAATTGAGAACAGATCCAGGTGGTTGAAGAGGAGAGGCTGAAATATAAGAGGGCTTATTGTTGACAATAGTCATCATACAAAAAGTAAAAACTCTGTCTTCTGCCTCTTACCCTGTGGAAAACGAACGGTCCAGTAAACGCTCAGGCACTGTTGTTCCAAGCGAGAGCCTCGCTGACACTTGCATTCTTGCAGGTTCTGATAGTGCATGAGGTTGTTCTGGGCATCGATGCAGGCCTGCCGCCCCTCCAGACTGAGGGGAGCCACTGCCTCCTCGTCCACGCAGTACTCCAGGTGCCGGAACTGCCGCTTACACTCCGGGTCCACCATACATTCATTTACAGCCTCTATGCAGTCCACAGTCCCGGGGAAAACTGGCAACACCAAGGGAACAGCCCCTGGAGGATTGTGAGTAAAGTTCATTTTAAAATCAATAAACAAAGTATTTATTAACAATATGTTTTACCAGTGAACTAATTAATTTAGCAGATAGCATTTGGCTCCACAGACATGCATTTGGACACAGTTGTGGGTAGGCCCAGATGGAATCACACATTTTTTTATTGTCATACATGCCTTTTTCTACATGGCATTTCAGTACAAAATCAGCAGTGGAATGCATTTAAACCTCATAAAAAGTCTTAAAAGGAACCGAGAGCAACTACAACATTACGAAATGAATAGACAATTCCTATAATTCCTATAGTTCCTGAATTTGAATTGAATTGGAGGTACATTAGCAAACAAGTTGCAGAATTGCAGTCCGAATTTATATGAGAGGAAGTAGAAATAAAATTAATCCAAAGAAGTTTCAATGTACTTTTTAAAGGGATAATTCACCCAAAAATGAAAATTATGCCATTAATTACTCAACCTCATGTTGTTTTAAACCCATAAGACCTTCGTTCATCTTTGGAACACAAATTTAGATATTTTTTATTAAATGCGAGAGCTTTCTGACCCTGCATAGAGAGCAATGCAACTGACACGTTCAAGGCCCAGAAAGGTAGTAAGGACATTGTTAAAATAGTCCATGTGACATCAGCGGTTCAATCTTAATTTTATGAAGCTACAAGAATACTTTTAAAATTAAGGTCTTATGTGTTTGGAACGACATGAGGGTAAGTAATTAATGACAGAATTTTTGGGTGAACTATCCCTTTAAGTAGAAAAACAAAGTTTGTTGAATGTTGGCTTGACAAAGCCTTGTTTTGAAAAAAAAAATACATAAATAAAAGTCTTCAAGTTTATAGGCCAGATAATTTATAGAACACTTTATTTTCCAGAATACATTGCACATTACATTTCTTTGAATTGCTATTTAGTCATTTCTACTTCCTGTCTTTGTCTTCAAATTCCAATTCAACTTCCTGTTGGGTATGGCTAATCCAATTCACATCTGATTCATGAATTGGTTGATGAAAACAGACATATTGGCCAGAATATTTAAAAAGAGAACACACACAAATATGAAGAATATGTAGAACTTTGTGAATGAGTTTTCTGTTCAATTCTGATTCCCTGTGGACCTGGTTATGACGAATTACACTTTGTGAATTTTCATCAGTTTCACTATAATATATCAGAGTTATAATATCTGTATTCTAGACGCATAGAAAACATTCTGACAGCGGCCGTGTAAAAAAACGAAGATCAAAGTCCCTTAACTTGCACTCAAGGGCAGAATTAATAATGTGTAAAATTATTTAAAAGAGACCTCTTCTCTGAAGGGAATTTCCCAGCTTGCTATTGCAGGAGGACAGATTACTTAAACGAGCAGAAAATCTTCATTCACCAACTTCATACATCAAGAGTTTCAACCCAAGTCCTTGACAACAGACACTTTGTGCTTTGTGTCCATTCTCAGGCTCAATCCTGACAGACGTCATCAACTCCAGAGACCCTCGCCGTCAGCCGGGTCTCAGGGTGACCTGAGGGAAAACTGTGACAGGGCTGTGTAATTTCATGGCTACGTTTGCTGTTTTTCATTAAGCAGCGACAGAAAAAAGCCTTGCACTCCTGTAGAAGCATGAGACATGTGTTTCTCTTTCTTGTATTTCTCCCCCCTGACCCCCATCCCCCTTTGTGTCTATTTTCCTTCGCAGCGGCAAGGGCTGTAATTGCGCTAGGCCTCATTTTAAAGCGTGTGGTGATTGAGAACCCATGGCTGTGGCCGGCAGACTAAGCGTTGGTCATGGCTTAGGACTCCGCTACCACAAAATGGCACTTCCTTCCACAGCTCACAGAGCGATGATCCATGCGTGAAAGACCATCTACTGCGGCGGCCGAAGTTAAACGGACAAGTAAACACACTTTGATCTCTATTATTGAGATGTTACGTGCTAGTTTGAATTTAAAGACAGGTGTTTGATCTGCCACTGTTTTAATTTTTCTTCTTAAAGGTGAAGTGTGTCGTTGCACTAGAGGATCCAAACAGAATTGCAGAATTTATGTCTGCTTTCAAACAGGTTCCCTTTCATGGGAACTTCGAACTGCGTCCTCTAGGGGTCGCTATGGGGAACGCCTCGTCATGACCCGTGTCTGAAGCATACATTGAAAAAACACCAACTCGTTGGCCGGCGACAGCCATGACGTCGCTACCGGTGCAACTATAATATAAATAGGCGCCGGGAGCTACACATCATTCTCTTCTTCGTCTTCATTGACTGTTTTGTTTGAAGCGTGCATTTCTGTGGTAAGAGCGATCTCTATTTATCTCATTATGGCGAGCACTAGCAAAGCATTTAAGGATGTATGCATCCGTGTTGACGTTTAACATCTGATGACACACACGATCTATGCGTTGTTTGTTTGGGCATAGAGCACACACGCGATGTCTCTGAGGGGGCAATCGGCATGCACTGCGAGCATTTTCCAAGGAAAAAAAAAAAAACCTCCGCTCTCGTTTGTCTCTCTTTTCGAGGAAAGCGGGGCAGCCATCTGCTTCCCGCGATTCAGGACCCGACGCTGCTGAGGCACGGAAGGTTCTGTTCCTTTTCTAGGGTAGGTCCTCGATGAGCACCCCCTGTGCTGGGTTCAGAAACCAGGTGCTCGACTTGCAGTGCGTATTTCACTATCTGTAACAGATGCTTGGAAAACTCTAAATAAGTGCAGCACATTAAGCTTTGCGCACTTTTCTCAAATCCACATAAGTGGTAAGTGTGCACGTTATGCTTTGCCCACTTTTCTAAAATCCTGTATGGTAAGAGCTACGCGCAAAGACTTCGTGCTGTTTTTGAGTGGTTTAAAACCCCAGCTCCGCCTTGGGCACCACTCCTCCTATGTATCCTCTGGATACCTACTTAACAGGGTGTTGTTACTAAGGGTCTGCTGAGACAGTTCCTTCAGCACATACAAAGAGAAACGTGCGGTAGCCCCTGTGTGACAGGCCAAGACTAGTATGATTCTAGGCTCTTGGTCGTATTCCCTTAAAGGAATCTATTCCTGATTCCAAGCCTTGAGCTCTACCCCGGGCCCAGGAGTCTGGCCCTAACAGGTAAATATTTTGGGGTATGTAGCCTAGGCCTTTGGCCGTAGGGAATAATGTCACTGACAGCCGTCTAACGTCCCAGGGGCGACTCCCATAGCAATATGGTAGAGTTGGTACTTAGTGCTCGCCATGGTTCTGGCTTGCACTCCCCTCAGCATGGTGGCGTGGGTATACCGTTCCCCATAGCGACCCCTAGAGGACGCAGTTCGAAGTTCCCTGAGTAGGGAACGAGACACTGCGTCCTCTAGGTTTCTTGCCATGCTGCGTGTGAATGATGTGTAGCTCCCGGCGCCTATTTATATTATAATTGCACCGGTAGCGACGTCATGGCTGTCGCCGGCCAACGAGTTGGTGTTTTTTCAATGTATGCTTCAGACACGGGTCACGACGAGGTGTTCCCCATAGCGACCCCTAGAGGATGTAGTGTCTCGTTCCCTACTCAGGGAACCATGGTTACATAAGCAACCTGAGACGTTTTCCATCTGCCATCAGATAGCCCCACCCTAAACTCACACCATTGGCTGAGTCAATGCTGCTGTATTCAATGCTTGTTTGATAGCTCAACAGAGCCAAAGTGTACATTTTTCAGCCAACCACGGAATGTCTTGACTTGACACTGCATATTAAGATTAGATACAAGAAACTATTTGAAAAGTAAGAAAACAAAGAAAACTAAATGAAAGTTAACAGACTTCAAATAAAATGTAAAAAAAAGGAAACAAATAAACTTTTATATTAGAAATACAAAAATAAAACTTTTTAAAACACAAAAAACTATAATAATATCCCAATTATACTAAAATAATGCTAATTTATGTTAATATTTGTTAATATTTATTTTGGTCTCACTTTATTTTAAGGTCCAATTCTCACTATTAACAAATTATTAACTATGACTTGTCTCAATAAACTCAAAAAACAGGGAACGATTCAGAGAACGACAAGTGCACAGAAGAGTTGAAAAGTGAGAGATGGAGTGAGAAAGAAACAGAAAGAAAGAAAGTAAACAGAATGACAGACAGCAGACGCCTCGCACAATAGGAAACCGTCTCAGTATGGAGGCTGATGGCAATCAAACACATGCTGGCCGGGTATTACGAGATATGTGTGTGTGCGTGCACTAAAATCACATTTAGCAAGTGACAGTGACACACACACACATACACACACACACACACCTTGAGGCTTTAAGTCTCATGCACACACTGAGAGAGAATGACAGACGTAGTTTCTGCAGTGAAGCTCAGCTGTACAGGGGAGTGAAAGAAATAAAGAGGTGAGTGAAATAGAGAAAGACAGCACGAGCGCGTACTGTAAATCTAAGTATCCTTGTGTGACCGTATTTATGGCCAGCGACAGCAAACCGGCTCCAGCTGTCGATATTTGCGGGTCTAACGTGATTAACTAATCAATGCGTACAGCGGTCTGAACCTCTGTGGTAAACCGAGCTCCACTATATCAAGATACATATCAAGTAAACGTCTCTTCTGTCGATCCAAACAAAACTGAAGAATCCATCAGATAAATTACAGCATGCTGCATCTCAGGGCCTAAACCAACAATTTAGACAAATTACTTGAGAAAAACGCACACAAACAAACCCTCGTAACCATTTAAAACAGTGAATGACTGTTTTTCAGCAAGGATGACAAATGTCAAGGAATAAAAAAGAAGCCATTAACACTAGGCTATATTTAAGTATCTTTCTGACAGTAAATGTGCTGTATAGACTTCCAGCACACACTGTTATTTGCTGCATTGAGGGTTTTGTCAAATGTGGGTCAGAGCACCGTATCTATTCACTATTGGTGACACGTCACATCAAAGCATGGCGGCGATATTAAAAGAACTGGGCCGGATGGGCCCGTCTGATTGACAGGGAGGAGAAACAGAAGACAATCCGAAAGCCCCGGGAGGAAGGAGTGCACTGCAGGGACGTGATGCTGAGACGGTCCTCGATGCTAAATCATAGCGCTCAGCGCCTTTAATGAAAATTGGCTACAGCATCATCATAAAAGCCGTGTGCGAGTGGAGCTCACACACACACATGCTCGCACGCGCTCTTTCTGATTCTGTCGCTTGGCTTGAATCTTCCAGGATAGGCGAGAGAGCCCAACACCATCTGCCGTCACCGTGTTTGCCTTTCCAATTCCTGGTTATCAACAAAACACACACGCAACCCTGAAAAGACCCTAAACATCCCCTCATATGTGAAGAAAACATGCCTGGAAGGAAGATTCCCTTTTTGTAAACTAGTCCCGTGTGGTTTATTGAACCAGTGTTCTTAAGATTCCTCTTTGATTTGCTAAAAATGGCCGTGTAATTAGGCTGTCCGCCTGTCCCTGGGTATGTCCTTGGCTGGGATGCCTGAGTCCATTATGGCATATTTTTCTCCATGCAATTAGTATATGCGCTGACGAAGCCTCGTTCACCTGTGTGTATTAAAGCATCCCAAAACATTTCTTAACTTGTGCAGCTCATGCTTTTCGCAAGAATCTCATTTGGGTAAAAGCAGAAATGAGGAAGAAACCATTACACAACAAAAAATATTTTCATACTCAGTATTTTTTCACTTGTTTTACAGTCCAAGTATCTGAAGATACATTTACTTGAGAAGCAAAATTGCTTTAGGTATTAAGTCAAGAAAAAATAATCCAAATTAAGTGAGTTAAAAAATATCTACCACAGGGGTAATGACTAAGTTTATTTTTCTTACCCCACTGACAGATATCTGTTCTTGTTTTAACCCTTGTGCTGTGCTGAAAACCTACTATGGTGTTCCCGGTAAAATTACCAACCTTTTAAATATTGCTTGTAATTCTCTCATTTTGCGATATTATCACTAAATCTTGGATTTAATCTTTTTGTCAACCTGTTTTCTTTCAATTAGCACAGGTTTTGCATTTCTTTTTGGACCTAATAGATCATAGGCCTCACTGATCTGAGCTTATGCACAAAAAGTATTATTTGTGGATGATTTTGGCAGTGTTCACTCAAAAACTGATGTGCAGAAGCTCAGATCAATGAGCCCTACGATCAATCAGGTCCAAAATGCAACACTTGTGCTAATTGATTTACAAGGGATATTTTATTTTTGTAGGGCAGTGATTTTTGACTGAGAAACACCATAAGTATAACAAGGTGGGCAAACAATCCTTTAAAAAACCCTACAAAAATTATGCAATTTTCGGCAAGCTGTTATACCCTGTGTGAACAAAGTCTGTAAGTTTTAGTCCAATGTGATAACATCAAAATGACCGGATAACAACATGAGGGTTAAGCATAAAATCACTTAATTTTGATCACTTAAAAAAAATTAAATAAATAATATTTTGCTTCTCAAGTCAGTATATTATAATAATAATAATAATAATTTGAGAATGTTTAGATATTCTACTGAAAAATAAGACTAAAATGCTCATTTTTGTAGCGGATATGCCAGCCATGTTTTTCCCAGACCTGTCAGCATCTGTCGCTGACAAATGAGTTGAAGCTGCCAAAGTCCAGAGTTGCGCACGCGAATCTTTTCTGAAACACACCTGGGCATACGGCTGGCACGAGTTTGCACATGCGCACCTGCCCGAAGGCCGTCAATCTTTGACTTGGTATGTTTGTACACATCTTTCCACCTCAGGTCGCCTCTTAAAAACATATTCAAGCATGCGAATATTTATGCAAATACACTGTGGAAATGAAATCTTTTTGCCACTTGATATCCGTCAGGGGGTCCTTTTGCGATTCGTGTGGCTGATATACGACCCGACCCCCGGGGATACACACAGCACGAGCAAGCACATCAAATCTGCAATCATTAACACAGCTAATAAATAAACCTGTCGATCAGCGCACGCATTACAGCGTGTTCTCGTGGCACCAGGGTGCGACAAACACCACTCATGATGATGAATGCCACTTGGGTTACAAAGCACTCGCACAAGACACTTGCAATATTGCACCCTGTCGTCCCATGTGGGGAGAGAAAGTCAGATCCCTCAAATGTTGGTTGCTGTGCTACAGGAACACCATGGAGCTGCCCTTTACCAGCCTAATCTGTCTCTGTTTATATGTGTGTGCGTTTCTGCCATCACATAATTAGGATAATATTGACTGTGACAGATGTCTCATAACATACTGTTATTTGTTGACGGAAATTATATTTTTAGACCCGGCCTGTGCGGATTATCGTTCTCGGAAGAGCTCCTGTAATGTCTGATATATTAAAACTATTATGCTGTTGTGATTCAAAGGTGTGAAGAAAATAAACACAGGGCTGTAAAGTACATCTAATTGGCTGAAAATCTCAGTGTTGTATTTAACTATTAAAAGTACTGTGTATGAATTAAATATAATTACCTATTGTTCAAACCATAATGATGAGCTCAGAATGCTACATTAAAGGAGGGTCTCTTAAAGGTAATTTTTGTTTTTGTACACATTTAACAGTAAGTGATATTACTAGTTAAGCTCTTTTAAGCTATTTATGCTGGTTTTACAACATAAAGGGTTGTGCTATTGTTACAAGCCACATATAAAGATAATCTGGTGCTATTGGGGATATTCTTAAGAGTGTTCAGCGTTTGTTAAATGTAATAAGCAAGTACACAGATATGTGAAGGAGTGACAGACACATCTGTTCTGCTCAGCGTACAGCATTCTAGAAAATGAAACCCTTTCTATTGTTTCAGCACAAGCACATGGCACAGTGGTCACCCAAAAACACACCTGTGCAATAAGTTTCCATGCAATTGTAATTTAATCACTGCTGTTCTGGCTTTTACAAATGATCATCATGTAATGGTATGCACTATATATGACATATACAATATAATGCATGCAAAATGTGCATAATACATCCAATACACAGGATACTGTGTGCAACCGGTATAATGTTTTGTGTACGATGAAAACTTGTTTATGATATCTGTTGTGCTTATTCTACTCACTTGGTCTATTTGTCTGTAATATATTTTGTATTGTGTAAATAGTTTATAATGTAGAATTTTCTAATCTTTCTATATGTATTGTGTTATGCTCTATACTGTACATGTCTGGCTGTTAACGCAACCCAAAAATAAAGTATCTATCTATCATCTTTTCCCTCAGACAATCCTTCCCTTTACAATACCATGGTTTTACAGTAGTAAGTCTCCTTTAGTTTAGTTCACCACCAAAGAGCCATTCATAAAAATATCTATCTACCTATCTATCTTTTCCATTAGAAAATTTACAATATCATGGTTTTACTATAGTAACAGTCCCTTTTAGTTTGCGTTCATCTTTCACCTCACGTTTATATTATTGTATATATGTAAATATAATGAATCACAACAGTTATACTAACAAATTATTTTTGCAGGCAGCTCTATATTAATATTATTCACGTTGTTCATTAACTTAAGTAAATATGCAATGTAAATACTTATGTATTCATGTAAATGTACTGCATAAACACTGTCATGTAAAGTGTGACCCTAATGTGTCAAAATAAGTCATGGAGACTGTTTCTAAGAGTCTTACCCTTAATGACGAACAGATTTAGAAGTATTCCCAGAAGGATCATGTCGACTGCTGTTGGATGCGCTCGGCTGGACGGTGATGCTGCTGGGGAATCTCGGGGAAGCGCGTCTGGAAACCCCGGATCGGTCCGACTCAGTCCGAGGCACTACATCCATACAAGAGGACCACCGTCCGACTGATAGAAATCTCCAAAACGACGTGTCCGACAATCAGTACCAGCTACAAACTTGTGCGATATCGGAAGCTTTCTAATGCGTATGGGGTGTCCGAGCAGCAATGATTTAATACTACAAACAAGCCAGGGGAAAATTGCAAACTGTCAAACGCACTAGCAGCTGATGTCCGTTATATTCACGATCGGAGTCTTTCTAAAATAATAATCCTCGATTCAAACGCGTATCACCATGATAGAAGCGTAACCAAATGCGCGCGTCAGATGTTCCAGTGTGCGCATTAGTGCGCATCAGTTTAATACAGTATATGTGAGCGCGACCCCAGATGCTTGATTCCTGCTGTCCCACAGCACAATGTGCTCAATCCAGTCCTCAAACTCAGCGGCGAATTTTACATGCAGCTGCCTCCCTGTGATTGGCTCGGGCATTCTCAGGCGCATCCATGCAAAATCCCTGACCAGCCTTCTGGAGAGCTGGGTCGGTGCTCCTATATGCTAGAGAAATTCAGCCTGCTCTGCAAGTATCTAAGTTTGCAAGTGAATCTTTCAGCAATAGTGAAATGTTACGGCGATTAAAAAAGTGAGATAAAGATCAGTCAAACTGTGCACTCTAAAAAATAACTGTCCTTTTTAGGATTCCATCACTCAGTGGTTTTAAAATGGTTCGTAAGGTTACCAAGAAATAAAGAACTCTTTTAGGCTGTATGTTTTTTTTTATTAAAAAATCTCTTATGTTAAATGTTCTTCAGATTAGCATATTTACAAATTTATGAACATTATCCTATGGTGGTTTTTGTTCTACTGGAAATCTATAAGTGTGTAAAGGCCCACTGACAGCAGAGCAATAACTATAGCGTTCATAACAATGAACGATATCATTCTGTTTACTGTAAACGGGCTCTGCAGTTTTGCCGTCTGTAGCTTTAAATGCTGGATCTCTTTAGAAGCAGGATGGATTCTGATTGGCTATCAATGTTTTATCGTTCATCAGCTGGAATAAATCGTTCTAAAAGTGGTTCCAACTATGTTCCTCTGTGCGCTTATCACTATAGTGTGGACTCTGCCATTCCTTTAAGTTTATAAAAATGTATAAACTATATCTTCATCATTATAGTTATCCTCCTTGGTGTGAGCAAATGTTAAAATGATAGGCCTATTTAATAAAAAATAAAATAAAATCAAGCTGCTAAATTCCATTGCTGTGTGCATAGCTATTTCTGTTTAACCTGACCCATATAAATTAATGTTTAATGTTATATTTAATTACAATATTGAACAAGCCCAGCTAATCTGGATATAAGTTTTGAGATCACCCACAAAACAATATTGAACAGTGCTGCAAACCATAAATATGGGAACAGGCGAGACTTCATTGAGAGAGTTCACAGGGTATTCCGTTTCAGTTTGTTAACAAAACTCCATACAGAGATATCCCATAAGGGCCATGAGCTGTCCAGACCGTGGATACAACCAACACAACACCGTTAGAACTTTAGATTCTGACGTTTAGTTGGCAGCACAACACAGAGATATACCAAGGTGGTATTTCTGTTCCAATTTCAGGATTTGCGAATGAAACTTTAATGAGAATTTGATTTGTCCAAGTGGTCTGACTTGGTCCAACAACTGGGTCTATAATCAGGAGGCTTATGTAGATACACATTCGGCTGATTACCGCAGTGCAACAGCCTGCACGGTCATCTGTGTGCGTGTGTGTGTACAAATGGTTTGCTGAGCGGACAATCATGGCCATTTAACTAATCAGAGTAAATGCCATACAGAGCCATTGCCCTGATGATGTCACAGCTCTGGAGTCCTCACTCTGAGTGCTTCCATCTGGTTGGGCTTTTTAGTGGCAGGACAGCCACACTTCACTTTTTCTTTTGTCCTCTCTCATTTTCAGGCAATCTGGCCATACTTTCTGTCCTCTTTTCAAATGCAAGATGCAGTTTTATCACCCTTTTTCAAAGATCAGATGTAACTAGATTTTTACACTTTTGAAAAAAGTGTTTAAACTTGAAACTACTTTGAAACTGTAGCTTGTCAAGTTAAAACCTAATATCAGTTGTCAGTAAACTGCAGTCTAATTGAAACTGATTGTAGCTGCACTAAAGGAAAAGTAAAGAAAAAGTAGCTAAATACATTATGATGTGTAATTTTTTTAGGTTTTGAATGAACAATCGCAATTAGGGTTACAGTATCACATTTTAAAAGGTAGGCTAAATGTATACTGAATCAAATATAGACTCTATAACCAAGCTGAAAATTCAGTCCATAGTAAAGGGAGCTGAAATTGTTAATTCATTCATTTGCATGAATCATCGCATGACCCGATTTCCTAGAATGATTCGGAATTTTCAACACTACATATGAAAGAGCAGGCCTTTTAGGACGAACCAATTCACTAGAATCAATCAGACTTTCTAACACAACATATGAGAAAAAACATTTAGAAATTAATCAGACTTACTCAACGTTTGAAAGAGCGGACCATTTAGGACAAACCGATTCATTTGAACGAATCAGACTTTCCAACACAACGTGTGAGAGAGAGCCATTTCGGGGTAAACCGATTTACTAAAATAATTCGGACAATCCATCACTATATATGAATGAGAGGACCATTTAGGATGAACTGATTTATTAGAATGAATCAGACTAACCAGCGAGGACCATTTACGACGAACCGATTCACTGGAATGAATCAGGCATTCCATTACTATTTATGAATGAGAGGACCATTTAGGACGAACCGATTCATTAGAATGAACCAGACTTTCCAACGCAGCATCAGAGAGGAGCAGTTACGACGAACCGATTCACTGGAATGAATCGGACTTTCCAAGGCTATGAGGAGGACCATTTAGGTCAGTGTTTCTCAACCAGGGGTCCGTGGACCCCTAGTGGTCCTTGACATAAGGCCAGGGGGTCCGTATAAAGTATGAATTTTTGTATACATTTTGTATATTTTGACATGACATGTTCCCATGAAAGAAAATTCCAATATAGCTGATGATATGACCAAATACTGGACAAGTCAGCTAACTTGAATTATACTTGACTGCATTTGGTCCTCACAAAGACACAAAGACACAAATGATACGAATCAATTTTGTTCTGGGGGTCCTTGAGGATGGTTCTGAATTGGATTGGGGTCCGGTACGCCAAAAGGTTGAGATTCACTGATTTAGGTGATAGTGATTTTTACTTCTCTTCGGTCGCGCTACACCGCAAATGTTTCGCTAATGGAAAAGCTACACTACGACAATAATTAAAGTGTCAGACTACTGAACAATATTCTTCGCTACCTTTAGTTAGCTACTCATCAAAACTGTAATGGTTTGGGGTGTTGCCAGGGTTGCTATGGTTTTGTGCGTGATTGCTAGTGTGCTTGCAGTCCGAGTCAAAAGTTCTTCAATGCATTGTCCATTTTATCCATTTTACTAAACTTATATTTATGTTTTGCCTTCCCCTGTTTCCACACCATTTCTTACTTGCAATTTCTTCCCTTCATCATCATCACAAAGATCTTTCCATTTGTCTGTCCTCTCTCGCTCTCTGTTTCTCCTCCTCGCCACTCATCCCTCGCTCAGCCCATCATTGCTTTACGATAGCTGTGACCTTTTCAGTGGCACTCCACTATCAGACTCTTATCTCACTGCCAGTGTAGCCGAGCGGTCATTTATGAGGTCACTTCACAGAAGTGGACATTAGCGATAATGTACTTCCAGTGACTCAGGTGTCACACTAAAGCGAAGGCAAGCGCGCGCACACGCACCCACTTTTGCCCGGCATATAATCATCCAGTGCTCTGTGTACATGACAGAGATGTGGACGTCATAACAAATTAAAATGTCCGTAGGTGGAAGGAATATTTTGCTTGATGAGAGAAGAGAAGAAAGAGACAGTATATTTTCTTCACAGTATTACAAACGCGCGCATACACACACGCACACACAATTTCTCGATCCCACTCGGTTTGTACGCTTGTTAGTTCCACTTGAAATGGCAAATGACAAACAATCAGAGGCAGTGAAGCAGTGGCTTACCAGCTCACAGAACCAGCCAAAACAAAACAAACAAGGCAATTACTGCAATTCACACTACACCAGTTCTCCATGTTAAACACACACACGCACACACAGATAAACACAAAGGCCTTTGCAATTATAAACATTATTCTCATCTCTTGCAATCTATTTTTGACATGCAAACTAACACTACACATATACATAAGCTCGAGCAGCGGGGATGTACACGGTATATTAAAACGACTAAATCCACTGAATAAAATATTTTCTCATCTCCAAGGTTATGAAGAGAAGGTGGAGAAAATCTCCAAACTGATTTTTTATACATCAGTGGCTTTGCATGGCTTTGATAACCTGAGGCCAAAAGAGGAAGCTGGCAGATGTGTTTAGTTTACGGCCCGTTTGAATGTCTCCCTCACAAATATAGAACAACTTTATGCCTCTGTGCTACGCAAATACACACAAAATATAAAGCCGTGCCCATTAAGTAGTTTTTAGCACTCTTGCTTTAGTTCATGTAATTAATTCATATTATTAATTGCCAAATTACTAGACCTACTCACATAATTTGTCAGCAGGATGAATTCAGCAATGTTTGAAGCAGTTTGTTAATGTTTACATGTTTAATACAAGTTTACAAGTTTTTGTTTGTTTGTTTATGTGTATCTCTCACAAAAACTGGTTTTATAAACTCTTTTGACTGGCAGTAAATTATAGGCCTACAAATGGATAAAATAGCATGACATGAACCGTGTGACAAATAAACAGTTGGCAAGAGAGAACTAGACAAGTTCAAAGTTGTGTTTGTCATATATGAGTCATTCTATGAACACAATCAATCATTTGAATTAGTGCAGTAAACACAAAATTATGCTGTTAAGTGCTTTGCTGGCTTAAATATATTAATATATTTTATTGCCATTTTGGTGTGTGTGTGTGTATATACATTAATTAATAATTCTATTTAATATAATTAAAAAAATAACAATAACCCACTAGAACATTACCAATATCAAATATGGAATGATTTTCTCGCTCACACTATATTAATAATGTATTTTTTAGTCCAGTGCCGAAGACAAATTTGAACAGAAAATGAAATCAGTTGAACTGAATAACTAATTTTAATTCAAACAGAATCATTTATCTGTGTCCACAAATCCTGATTCATTCTCCATCACATCACTACTTTAACAATAATGAGGAAAAGACAAAACTGCAGCCATGTTTAATTAATTCATTATTATTATTATTATTATTTGTCTGGCAGGTAAAGCATAACATATCCACCTTGTCAAATAAAATAAGCAGGAAATCTGTTT